GAAAGAAAGAAAGAAAGAAAGAAAGAAAGAAAGAAAGAAAGAAAGAAAGAAAGAAAGAAAGAAAGAAAGAAAGAAAGAAAGAAAGAAAGAAAGAAAGAAAGAAATCTACACCTATTTACTTATGTACTGGGGATATCAGTGGACAATATGGAGAGTTGGTTCTCTCCTTACCTCTTGTGGATTCCACGGATGAAGCACAGATCTCATGCTTCCTGGAAAATGCCTTTACCTGATGCGGCATCTCACTGGCCCCTATGCATTTTGGAAACAAAACAGACTTTCTGTGGCCTGCCTAGACCCAACTTTGGTATTTGGTGAGAAGCGATGGCTGCAACTAAGAAACCAAAAGCCTGAAAAACTACCTGCTGGATTTTTATCTCATCTCCTCCCTGTGTGACCTAGGCTACTGACCTAAACTCAAGAAATTCTCAAAGCATCCCAGAGTCCTGCACATGCTGGGTAAGGCTCTAGCTCTGAGCTAAGTCCTCAGCCCTTGAAGCCACACTGTAAGGTCGGGGAGATGGTTCAGCAGGTAAAGGCACTTGCTGCTAAGCTAGGACCTGAGTTCCCACCCTGGAGCCTCACATGGTGGAAGGAGAGAACTGACTCCCACAAGTTGTCCCCTGATCCTTACACATGCCCACTCCCACAAAGGCACAATGCAAAAAAAAAAAAAAAAAAAAAAAACAAGGAATGAAATGGGGGGGCAAGGAATGAAATGGTGGATATAAAGCATTCAACGTACTGGCTAAGATTCTGAAGGCAGCTGATGCTTTATTGTCTTGGGCATCAGTTCTTACAAGGAAGGAAAGGGCAGGAATCTGGGAGGGGCTCTTTGGCCCTGGCAAATGGAGACAAAAATATGTCCAGACAGTTGCCTGAACTCAGAACCTAACACATCTGGCTCTTGCCAGCATGAGCTGTTTTGTTTGTTTGTTTGTTTGTTTGTTTTTGGTTTTTCGAGACAGGGTTCTCTGTGTAGCTTTGGAGCTGATCCTGTCACTTGCTCTGGAGACCAGGCTGGCCTTGAACTCCCAGAGATCCGCCTGCCTCTGCCTCCAGAGTGCTGGGGTTAAAGGCATGTGCCACCAACGCCCGGCCTGTTTTATACTTTTTCTGTCTGCTTTTTAAAAAGGTAGTTCCAAACTGGGCGGTGGTGGTGCATGCCTTTAATCCCAGCACTTGGGAGGCAGAGTCAGGTGGATCTCCGTGAATTGAGACCAGCCTGGTCTATAAGGACAGGCTCCAAAACCACAGAGAAACCCTATCTAGAACCTGCCCCCCCCCAAAAAAAAAAGCTAATTCCAGCAAGATGGCTCATCAGGTTAAAGGTTTGTAGAGTCAAGAGTTTGATACATGGTACCCACAGGGTAGAAAGAAAAAGCTGACTCCTTCTGGTTGTCCTCTGACTTCCATTATGCACACACACACACACACACACACACACACACACACACACACACACACACCACAAAATAAAAATTTCTAAAAAAAAAAAGAGCTATTGCCTATTCCACCTTCTTTTTCTAAAACCCACCTACTGTGTTGTCAACAAAGAAGGGAAGAAGCCTGTTGCTTGGCTTGTCTGAGACACAGAATCTGGACACAGCCATTACAAAGCTGACCTTAAATGAGCCTGCCTCTGACTCTAACCCTAGGCTGTAGATTCAAGCAAATCCTCCCATACCCAAAATACCTCTGTCAATTTTGCTGACAAGTTGTCTTCGTCTTTAGGCCACCACTGATCAGAGTACGTGTTCAACCTCAAGAAGGTTTTGGGGGAGGACAATGTCATGAAGCCATTAGCCATCACTGCTGTGCATTGGGGTCCCTCCAGCTCGGAATGGACCTACTAACTCCACAACGAAGTTTAATGTCTCCTTTCTGCTGCCCTATCTACCATGCTCTTACATCAGAGCAATCTGTGCTGCACGATCCAGCTGCCACTAGCCAAGTGCAGATATTTAAATCTGAGGAGTAAAACTAAGTGAAATTTAAAATTCAGTTCCTGGGTTCTGCAATAAAAACCTGTTCCTCGGGAACCAGCCCGTTTCAAGAGCTCAGAACCGAAAGTGGTTGGTAGTTCTTATATTCCATTGTTACAGGGTCACAGGGAGTTCTACCGGAACCTTCCACTAGATAACAAGCCAAGTTCATTCCCGTCATGCTGCTTTGTCCCTTACATCACTCTCTGCTTGGGTCAAATTGAAATTTGATTTTTATGGCTCTTCAGAATCCATGTAGCTCTTTCTTTTTTTATGTGCTGAGGATGGAACCCAAGGCATCTCACATGCTAGGCAAGTGCTGTACCTTGGAGCTCCATCCCCTCTGTTTATTCACCCGCCCCTCCCATTCCTTCCTCGTCCTGTCTCCCTTTCCCTCCTTCCTCCTCCCCTGTCCTGTCCTCTGCAGTCTTCCTCAACCTTTTTCTGTCTCCCCTTCTTTTCCTTTCTCTCCATTTCCTCTTTTCTTCCCTTCCCTCTCCCCTCCCTTCCCATCTCTTGTCTACCTTTTCTCTCCCCCTTCCTCCTCCTTTCTCTCTCCACCTTCTCCCTTTTTCCCCTCTTCCCATTTTTCCTCCTCCTCCCTCTTTTTCTCTCCCTTCTGTCCTCTCTCACCTGTCCTGTTCACTCCTCCTTCTCTCTTTTCTCCCCGAAACACATCTAATTTTTACAGACAAAAAGGCACTCTGTAGACCAGGCTGGCCTGGAATTAGCCCTGTAGCCTCTACTTACTTGTAACTCGCCACCCTCCTGCCTTCTTAGCCTCCTGAGTGTTGAGATTATAGGCATTGACCACCATGCCCAGCCACCCTGGGCCATCTCTCCAGCCTTCTCCTTTAGGGTTCTCTGTTTAAATGCTCCTCCCCTGCAGGTCCTCACATATTCCTGGTCTCGGTTTAAACTCCACTTCCCCTTGTTCACTTAGGCTGGCACTGCCCTGTGCACACTTCTACTGTCCTGTACCTTATCTGGTATTTGAAGGCCAAGCTTGCAAAGAGAGGAGAGGCAAAAGAGGAGCCTGAGAACTGTTTCTTTGATTCCCTTCCTACTTCCTCCTGGAGCCTCCTGCTAAACCCTGCTAATTCCCTGGGAGGAAAGCAGGGCCAAGACATGGCTGCCAGCCACAAAACTCCCCATGATTCTTGAGATCCTGCCTATGTAAAATCTCTCCCTATATTGAATCAATATTCATGGTGGAGGGAAATGGCTGGATCATAGAAAATCTCGGGACTTCTGCCTTGGGGGCTTAATGGCAGAAGTCAGCTGTCATTCATGAGAACACTGGCAAGCCCAGTTGCTAGAGCCTGATGGGAAAGGCAATGACTGCAGCCCCAGGATTGCAGTAAAGGCTAGATAACTAGAACAGCCCCTCAGGACAACTTCCCAATTCCTGATAAAAGGAGCCATGAAAAAGGACAATGGTTATAATGATTCTATTTCTGAAATTTCAGGATATTTTTTTGAGACAGGGTTTCTCTGTGGAGACTTGACTCTTCTGAAACTCACTTTGTAGACAAGGCTGGCCTTGAA